GTTTCAAGTGCTACAGCCGAAGATCGGAGAGACGTAATCGTGTCTCGTTTTTCTAAAAATTTGTCTCCCGATTCTGAGCGACATCTCATTGGCACCATTAGGCGGAGCATTCAAGTTTCACGCCTCGCCCCATCGCGAATGGGATGAAACTTTTATGACCCTTTATAAGTTTTGATAAGAGCGCTCTAAAGGATGCATAGGCTTTTGCCTTTTTTCTCAAAATAATGTCGCGTGTTTGCGGTTCCAGGAATTCTGTGAATATGTTCCACGTAACGTGACAGTTTTAATCTACATCGATCGCGTGACACAGGCTAGAAAAATTACTTACCCCACAAAATCAGGAGACAAATTTATGCTTTTTACGAGGTACAAGCAACACAAAATAAGCCCACGCACTTTTATACTGCGACTGAAGATTCGCCATCTTGCTTCTTGCGTTTACTTCACATGTAAAAGTGACGTCAGACGATCTGCTGTCGCAGTATTAATATGATGGAAGTGCGTGAACTTATTTGGCGTGGACACTAGCTTAGTGCCTCTTTATTTACCATCTACGAATTGATGTCTTTCTTGTGATCAAGGTGAATTTTAGGATCCTGAAAACAGAAATCAACATCAAATTTTTAAAATTTTAAATTGTTTTTAAAAAACCACTCACATGCTTTTTAATTGATTAAAGCTTCCGGACGCGTTTCGCCTGGTCAGGCCGGGCATCCTGCCGTGATAGCGAAGAGAGCCGTAAGTGCAAAATTTTCGAAATCGGGTTTTCTTCAAAATTCGTCTTAACTCTTTTAGATGAAATTACTGAGACAGCTAAAACAGCAAAATTCATCCTAATTTAATGAAAACGAGACGTATGAGAAAGCCGTAAGTGCACAAAAAATGACTTAGTTTTTTTCAAGACAGCCGCAGATGCATGAGAGCCAATGAAAACAATGCTTTCCAGTAAAGTGCCGCCCTCTTCTGCCAATATCTAACCTGAAAATGTGTTTGTTGTGCGTCCAAAACGCAACCACGAAAGCATGTAGAAGATAGCACTTACGGCTGTCTTGCCCAACAATAACCTAACACGAAACTGAATTTTACCTTTTTCTTGTACTTTAAAATAAAATCGGTCGAGTTTTAATCCCCCAAATGATTTCTAGGAGTCTTCCGGACGAATAGTGGCAATTAGACAAAGAATGGAGGCTTCTTTCAATAAAATGTTCCACTCAGAAGCTTCTGAGCCCGTTTTCTCAGAACTTCATTTTTGCATTTACGGCTCTCTTCGCTATCACGGCAGCATCATCAGCGAATCCGGGCGTCAGTGATGATGCTCGTCCTGCAGGCGTACGTAACGCGCCTGGGAGCCTTAATTAATTGACATGCACTTAAGTGGTTTTTTTTTCCAAAAAATTTTAATTTATTATAAATTTCAACAAAGGTTCGGGTTCGGGTCCCTGATTCCTAGTTTATTTTATTAATCAATATCAGTCAATTACATAAAGCGTATAGGATGGTCTCGTATGGTCGTGTGCGGAGGATGGCAAACGAACTGTTCCCTAAGTAGATTTTCGGTTGGGTTCTTCCCTGGAGGAGACAGCGTAGACGTCCCTTGAAAGGTTGGCGACAAGGAGTGGAGGAGGAGACCAGCGATCTGATTATTTAAATTGATAGACAAAACGATAGACAAAGAAGACATAGGGAGTACGGAGCAATCCTATTGGTTGAAATGGGTGGTTCTTGTAGATTAAGGGAGAAACTTATGGACTAACTGTCAGGTTTCTCGTGGGTTTCCGTTAGTTAGTCTATTACCTACCGCCTTTGTTCATTGCAACCACTCGCTTCCACCAACAGGATCCCTCTATATCCATGTTGTCTTCTTTGTCTATACCTTTGTCTATCTTTTTCAATAAATCGGCCCGAAGGAGGTGTCAATTGCTTGATGATATGTGTGTGGGAGGAATGAATGTAGGGGGCAAAGGCGATTGAGTGTTGCAGAGCGCGAAGCTGCACCGTAAACGCGGCTAATAAGTGTGTATGTAAGATTAAAATGACGCAGGAACAATCCGTTGACGAAATTGCGATTATTTCATCTTTAATAATACTTTAACAAGCTACGCATAAAGTAATAGAAAGGAATCGGCAACATTTAAATGGCGGTCTAGGACAAAACGTTAACCCCCATAATTTTGAAAATTCTAAAAAATGTTTTTATACCGAAACAAATGAATTCACTTGAGTGTGTTTAATCAGAAATTTACGATTTGCCTCCTTTCGCATTCACTGCGGCCTCTGAAAAAATTACGAAAGTTACACGTCACCATTACGTGGTATGGAATAAAAACAGTATAAAGTGAATTTAAGTCTAATGGGATTTCAAATAATGAAAAAAATTTAAAGGATCGAAGAGGCACGCATTAATTTCTCCTTCTCTGGAGTCCGCCTAAAAATATTAACTTTGACCTTTGACTTTTTCAAACTAAGCAACTATACACTGATCCTAAGCTGTAAGCTGTAGCCTAAAAAACAATTCATCATGCAAAGTAAAATTACATTTTTCGCGGTTCTCTGAAAATGAGAAAAATGACTTTGTGCCCTGCTGATTGTATATGCTTCATTTTTTTGTGGTCGTATTTAACCTTGGTGGCACGAGCACTCCAAGACATTTAAAACTCGACGGTCCTTTAAGTGCTTCTAAGCCAGTAATGGTCCATGAATTATTCTTTGAGCCTTCATAGTTAAGGCAATCAGAATCCAACAACAAAGCATTAATTAATTAAATATTAAATAAATCTATAGTTTTCTCTATTCTTTTAAGCTGAAGTTTTAACTTAAAATATTTATATCGTCCCCGCTTGCTACATTAATTTTGTCAAGGATTTAAAAGCATTCGTAATGAGGTTTTCTCATGGCCCATATATGGACGTATTTCTATCAAACGGAACTATGTACATTATGACGCGAGCCCTGTTATGCACCTATTCTTATGGGTCTCAGGGCTCATGTCATAATGCACATAGTTCCTTTTGACAGAAATACGTCCATATGTATAACGTAACTGAAGTGTTTCAATTTATCTCATTGTGGCCACAAGCTACAGAGCATGTGTAAAAAATTAAGAGTTAAAATAAATTTAAAAAAGAGCGTAGATGTATGGCTCCACAGACACTTCCGAGTAAGTATGTTTTAAACTATTGAGAAGGAAAAAGGGAATTCCATTTATTTCGTCGTTAAAAAATGCCATATGTTTTGTTTTCGTTTTCTCTCCTTTGCTGCTTTTTCTCACCCTTTAGATGCTTGAAAACGAAGACTCATTCTACGATAGGGCAAACAGCCTCGGTTTTTCTCTCAATATCGTAGGTACATGGAGTTTGTAAAAGGAATGGTTAACTATAACAAACCAAATTCTTTTTTTATCGCAAAAAATATTTAAAACGATTCAGTAGATAAAATGTAGTTTTGGCAGTTGAAAAAGTGCGTTTAAATAGCGTGCTATTGAAATTTCTACATAATTTCCTATGTAAGAAGATCCCTACAACTTATATGCTAACGCAATATCTAGACGCAGCTCCCTTTATGTGTTGAGCGAGGGGGTTCGGGGGGGGGCCTGTCCCCTCAAATGTCCCCAGCCCCCTAAAGACTGTGCATGTTGTCACCCTGTAAAAGTAGGTGGCTTCAGTGGCGAAGCGTAAATGATCGATTTACCAATACATCCCGATTTGAAGTTATGGTAAAGAATCGATTATGAAGGTGTTCGTTATGAACACTGTTTATCAATACTTTTCCATAGGTTTAAATGGTAGATCAATCGATAAATCGCAAAGCACGCCGCGCCACTGGATGATACCTTTGCCACTCCTTTGCTCCGCCCTCCTAAAAAGAACTCTTGCCCCGCGCCCCTAACCTAACAAATCTAATCTAAACTATCTAAACTAATCTAATCTAATCTTATCTGAGCGAATTCTAACCTAAACATTTCGACGGACGGTGAAACTGCAGTAGCGTGTATCTCGTTCGCGTTGTTACAAAACATCTATGCTCCCACTTTTTTTCATCACAGGAGAACAAACCAACGCTTTTACTTGAAATTCGCAAAAAATATCCCGACACAAAATTATAGAATCAGATAAGTTTTTTTAAAGAAATGACGTTAAATATTCTTCAATTTAAAAAAATACGGTGTGGAAGGGACCTGGGACCTCGCGAGTTTTGTTCGGTGTGATTTCGCGGAATCTCTGGTAAAAAATTTGTTTACTTGAAAACGTTTCAGCATGTCTCTTTGTATGGCAATGAAATGAACTTTGGTGTGATAAGTTTTTTTCATCAGCGTTTTTGGTGACATGGTTGTGCGGTTGATTCGTTTGCAGCTCCACTGACGTCTGGAACTGAATTCTTAGAAAGAACCAATTTCATCGCTTTCGCCGAGAATTTTGCCTACCAGCCAACAAGCATACTCTTTTTTTTCAAAACAAAAAACAAAAAATTGGTACTTTTCTGTTAAATTCAGCCCATAATTTTTCTGTGTCGTCGTTACCGAGATACGCTTACCCGCAATCGAGGCATTTTTCGGTGAAAGGGCGTATGAGAGTTCGGATGCTGCTAAAATTGTACAACGTAGTTCTCCAGTTGTAAATCATACATCTGACAGTTCTGCTATCGATTTAACACTGTATCTGCTTCGAGTAATTGCAAAGAAGTAAGTCGACTGTGCATGAATATCATCTGCCACAAACGCGGTACAAAATTGAACGATTTTAGCAGCATTGTAATCCTTATACGCCCTTTTGACGGTCTCGAGGATTTTTTAAGATTTTTAAAAAAGTTCCGAGAAAATTCCAGAAAATTCAAAAGATCCGGAACATGTTGAAAATTTCAAAAGTTCCGGGCTAAAGTCAGGAAAATCTCAAAAGTTCCGGAATTCGGAACTAGTTCCGGGAAACGGAGGCACTGGGATTTTCACTCTTGATATTTGGACGGACGCTGATGCTTGGAAATTTTGTTTGGTTTCAGAGGCGGGNGGGCCGCGTGGTGGAGATGATCCGGTTGGACCGGGAGGACAGCCCGGACAGCGTGGGCTACATCGAGGATGACCACCCCCTGCGGCACGAGATGGCGGCGCAAACGCTGTCCCTCCTGGCCGCCCCGGAGCGGAAGAGGGGCGACATCTCCATGACCTCCTCCACCACCGACATGGACGCCGGGCTCATCTACAGCAGGGATCGACGCCGCGTCCCCTCACAGGTAAGCACCCACCAATCCAATTCAATTGCTTCTTTCGAAATGTGCCCGACTCCCAGTGGCGTAACGGACTTCCGCTGGGCCCCCCTGCAAAATTTTTTCTAGGGGCCTCCCATGTCGATAAAATTCCAAAATTATCCCCCCTCTCCCTTCCTCACCCCTTCACGTTTTTTCTCGTATGGTCTAGGCCCGCAGCACGAAAATTTTTGAGAAAATCAGCCTTAACCACCAAAAAATCAAAATGGCAGTAGCTTATATCTTTTTACCTTTAGGTATGGTATGTGCAGGATTTAGCCTACTTTTACGTTATGTTCTGAGGTGGAATTTGATTCACTTTTATGTTTGCGCAAATTAATAAATTTAAAAAAAAAAATAAAAACGTAAAAGTACCGGATTAAATGGAGCCCCTAAAGGATCAATGATCTAAAGGAAGGCGGGGGCTCAGCCCAGGCCCATGAATCAAAGGGCCCCCAAGGCTTTTAGATTCTTGGACCTCCCAAAACCCGAAACACGAAAAGTGACGAAAGAGGAGAAAATTATTTAGGAATCATTGAGTGGACATGGGAAGGCAGGGGCCCTCCAGCAAACAAAAAGTTTGGAACAGTCCAAGAAAAGTATGAAAAACCCCGAGCTAACAATAAAATTCAAAGGAAGAAGCCCCATCTCGATAAGTAAAGGCCCAAAGTTTAAAACCAAAGCTGAGCATCAAAGAGAGAGAGAGAAAAAAATTCCGGCGGCCGAGGGCCCCCCTGCATAGCAGGGTCTGCGGGGGCACCCGTTACGCCACTGCCGACTCCGTAAGGACAAAAAAAATAGTAAGTTGGAAGTTTTTAGCCAACGTGCGTTGAAAAACCAGCATAAAGCTGAGAATCTCAATACAGAGGGAAAAAGCTCATATAGCACAATTTTCCCTCGAATGCGCTGTTTGGTGCAACACTAGTAACGACCATTCAGGAAGGCAAGTTTTTTGGTCGTATGAGCACAATTGTCTCTCAAAGAGATACGCTGTTTGGTGCAACCCTAGTAACGACCAGAAAACTTCCTGAACAGGGCCGGATTTACCAACTAGCCGCGCATGAGCCGCCTGCATTTTGCCGCCCCCTTCTCAATCGTTTTGAAACACCAATAAAAACCATTAAGTAAACGTGCCGGAGGGGGAGGGGTGCCTAAGACGCGTTTACTCGTGTTGAACACATTTTTTGCGAAAGCCCTGTCAACACTACTACCAAAAGTTCACGTAACTTGGCGCGAAAGTTAAGTTCCGTAAACCTATCTCTGTGCGGACAAGGCCTTCCATTTACACGAAATGAACGGAAATATTATGAAACAACAAACATAAATGTGCTTTAATAATTTTAACTTCCGCCGCCGCGCCGCGCTGATTGCACCGTGTTTGGCGCAATGCGTGAAGTATTCATGCAGTCTTGTAGGCGCTATGCGTCTCACGCCGCCCGCTGCTGACCGCAGCGACCGCACCGCACTATCTTTGACGCAATGCGTGAAGTATTCATGCAGTCTTGTAGGCGCTGATATGTGTTACATGCCGACCACCGCGCCGAGGGTTTCTCCTGTTCATCTCAAGTTCTCGTCATCATTGCTCTCTGCGCCGCGCCGCGCTGTTCCAGGCCAAATTGCGTGTTTGGTTTCTCTCTTAACTCGACTAATTGAAGGTGCTGTCTCTTCTATCACCGAAAGATGACAAAATTAGAAATTACTCTACTCTCAGGAAATGAGAGATTTTGTCACCTATTCTCGTTTTTATTTTTTTTTTCTGAATCCGATTTTTGTATACCTATATTTAAAAAAATTGCAAAATTTGCCGCCAAGGGCCGCGGCCCATGTGGCCATCCTTTAGATCCGGCCCTGTTCCTGAATGATCGTCACTAGTGTTGCACCAAACAGAGTATCTCTTTGAGGGAAAGTTGTGCTCATATGAGCTTTTTCCAATGTATTAAGATTTTCAGCTTTATGCTGGTTTTTTAGCGCATGTTGGCTAAAAAATTCCAACTCACCGTCTTACGACCCGTGCGTTTACCGCAATCAAGTTTAAAAAAAAAAAAAATCCGGAAAACTAGGGAAAACTGAAATCATACAAAAATTATGTTTCAGCGCTTATTATTCAGCTCTAGTGACGATTCTTGAAAGTTGGCAACGCTGTTTTTTCTCAATTTATAAAACAATTCATCTGTAAAACAATCGATTCTTGATGAAGCAGTTTATCTCACCTGAATCGATATTTGTAATGGATTTGGATGGAGGGTAAGCTGTGTTGTCAACTTGATAAACCGCCATTGTTTAGCTTCCAAAAAACCCAGTACCTAACTCGCATTAAAAACTTGGCCGCCGCGTCCCTTCAAAAGTAAGCACGACAACAATGTAATTGCTTTCTTCGAAAGTGCCCGACTCCGAAAGGACAAAAAAAATCATTAAGTGAACGTGCCGGAGGAGGAGGGGTGCTCAAGATGCGTTTACTCGTGTTGGACACTTTTTTGCGAAAGCCCTGTCAACACTACTAGCAAAAATTCACGTAACTTGGCGCGAAAGTTAAGTTCCGTAAACTTATCTCTGTGTGGACAAGGACTTCGATTTACAAGAAATGAACGAAAATGTTATGAAAGCACAAACATAAATGTGCTTTAATAATTTTAACTTCCGCCGCCGCGCCGCGCTGATTGCACCGTGTTTGGCGCAATGCGTGAAGTATTCCTACAGTCTTGTATGCGCTATGCGTTTCACGCCGACCGCTGCTGCACGCACTAAGTTTGACGTAATGCGTGAAGTATTCATGCAGTCTTGTAGGCGCTATGCGTCTCACGCCGCCCGCTGCTGACCGCAGCGACCGCACCGCACTATCTTTGACGCAATGC